GGGACCTGATGAAACTTAAAAGCTTTTGCACAACAAAGGAAACTATTTGCAAGGTGAAAAGACAGACTTCAGAATGGGAGAAAATAGTAGCAAATGAAACAACAGACAAAGGATTAATCTCAAAAATATACAAGCAACACCTGCAGCTCAATTCCAGAAAAATAAATGACCCAATCAAAAAATGGGCCAAAGAACTAAACAGACATTTCTCCAAAGAAGATATACAGATGGCTAACAAACACATGAAATGATGTTCAACATCACTCATTACCAGAGAAATGCAAATCAAAACCACAATGAGGTACCATTACACACCAGTCAGGATGGCTGCTATCCAAAAGTCTACAAGCAATAAATGCTGGAGAGGGTGTGGACAAAGGGAACCCTCTTACACTGTTGGGAATGCAAACTAGTACAGCCACTATGGAGAACAGTGTGGAGATTCCTTAAAAATCTGGAACTAGAATTGCCATATAACCAAGCAATCCCACTCCTGGGCATACACATTGAGGAAATCAGATCTGAAAGAGACACATGCACCCCAATGTTCATCACACCACTGTTGATAATAGCCAGGACATGGAAGCAATCTAGATGCCTATCAGCAGACGAATGGATAAGGAAGCTGTGGTACATACACACTATGGAATATTACTCAGCCATTAAAAAGAATTCATTTGAATCAGTTCTAATGAGATGGATCCACCTGGAGCCCATTATACAGAGTGAAGTAAGCCATAAAGATAAAGAATGATACAGTATACTAAGGCATGTATATGGAATTTAAAAACATGGGAACGATAACCCTATATGCAAAACAGAAAAATAGACACAGATGTATAGAACAGAATTTTGGACTCTGTGAGAGTAGGCGAGGGTGGGATGTTCTGAGAGAATAGCTTTTAAACAAGTACACTATCAAGGGTGAGACAGATCACCAGCCCAGGTTGGATGCATGAGAAAAGTGCTCAGGGCTGGTACACTGGGAAGACCCAGAGGGATGGGATTAAGAGGGAGGAGGAAGGGGGGGGGTCGGGATGGGAAACACATGTAAATCCATGGCTGATTCATGTCAATGTATGGCAAAAACCACTACAATATTGTAAAGTAATTGGCCTCCAACTAATCAAAATAAATGAAAAAAAAAAAAGTCTTCTCCAAGGCCATAGTTCAAAGGCCATATATGTGTGTCATTTTTCAGTGACATCATATTCCCCCTGTTGGAATTTAACCACCAAAACTGAATTTAAACAATATGCAAAAATGAGGATTAAGACACAGTGCCCCACCTACACACATCCGGCGACAGGAGAGGCTCCTGTTGTATGCAAGGGGCAGGCCTGGATAGATCTCAGGCAGGAATAGGCCCTGGGAGTCCTGGATGAGTCATTAAACAGGGTTGTCTTTACTTTGACTGCCACAGCTGTTTTGTCTTCTTTGATTGGTAAGACCTTTCAAAATTATTTCTTTGTATGTTTGCTTTGGCCTATACAAGTTTTCATGGTATAGACCCTAAAGGGGAAATTATATCAGCAATATATCTATTTATCTTCTGCAGTTAAATTTGTTGGTTTTTATGTTCCCATTGATCTTTCTTTATAAATAGAAAGGAAACAAACATGTTCAATATGTATTCAGTCTCTTTTTAAATCAACCAAGTTGAATTAAATTCCTCTTTGTCCCCACTGCACTCCCAAGTCTAGGCTAGAAATAAAAACCTGCAGAGACTGAACTCTGATTCAAGCACATTGTTGTGGACATTTCATTCCCATTCTTTTTTTGGGAAAAAAATAGTTGCTAACATTAAAATCAGTAGATTGTACATAAATATCCAACCATCTGATTCTCTTGAAAACATGGCCGACTGGCCTGCTTTCCAGCATGGTTGAAGTGGAGGAAAGGCTGCTGCCAGTGGTCAGGCCTGTGCTGCCCAGGGTCCCGCATGGCCTCCAAGTCCTACCATCATTTCTCTTGCCTGCTGGGACATGAGTTTGTGAGAACTAGACTGCTAGCTCTCTTAAGATAAAGACTACTTTTGACTTGATCAACTTTGTCTTTGAAGCCTTTAACCCAGAACCCAGCACACAGTTTTTCCTTGTGTGTTTGTTGGATGATATAAAATATCTTGTGGATGCATATGACCTTTCTTACAATACGGAAACCCATGCAACTGAAATACTGCTCTGCCCTAAATCTTTGATGGAGACTGACATCACAGGTGCCCCTGATCTCTGCCATTTGACCCACTACATAAGGCCAGTTGTATGTTTCTGGACTGTCCCTGAAGTCTTCACTTTGCCACTTGACAACTTATCCTCCTAGCAATCTCCTCTGCAATGATGACAGCAATACATATCTCATGAAGTGGCTAGGAAGATGACATGAACCGTGAATGTAGAGTATGGCCCCTAGTTACCATTTTCATGTTCTTAGCAGATTTTTTTCCAAGTAGGCAAGGTTCTCCGTCTTCTTAGATGTCCACGCATATCAGGTAGATTTTCTAGCCAAGATTAAAGGAAGAGATTACAGTTCAATTGTCTGTATTCTGAGAAGCTTCAAAGTCCACTCGCCAAGGACACTGATGAAGGTAAAGATTTTATCGAAAGCTTTGTGTTTTTATCAGATCTATTAGTGGCATAAAGGGGAAAACAAGGGTAGGTCAGAGCATATATAACTAGGAGCTCCCAGTCACCACTACATGCTAAGAACTTGAACTTCCCTGAGTGCTTGGAGCCAGGAAAGAAGCATGAAGTGGCTTGTGCTCCTCGGGCTGGTGGCCTTCTCAGAGTGCATAGTCAAGTAAGTATGGGGACTGTAAGCTGCATCATCTTCCTTTCTCGGATTTTTCTTTTCATCTGATTATTCTTCCAGCCATCAGGTTTAGATGGGAATGGGATATTTCCCTGACACTTAAAGTTCAACCCTTACTTATTAATAAGTGCCTTGCTTTAGGAGTTGTGGATCCCAAGGGTCTTGGTGTAGATTTGCATGGTTGCACAACCCTGGGGGTCCATTGATGACCTATTGAAAATGCAACTACTTACCACTGTTCAGTGCACAGTCTATGCAGATGTAGGTGTGGCCCTGTGGAATAGCACTTTTCCACATTTTATTCAACATGTCCTCTTTGTTCCCTGTCTACTTCAGTGTGTATATGTCTATGTCTGATTCTCTGTATCACTATCATTTACCTCGCAGTCTCTTTGGAAGTCTCTGTGAATGTATTTCTCTCTGTATTGTTTTATTTTAATTTTTCCTTTGACTCATCTTTCCTTCTCGAGCCTCTACATTTCCCTAACTTGTTCCCTATCTCCTGGATTCTTCTTTCAACTCCGTCTTCTCTTTCAACGTGGAGAAAGATACACTGTTTGATATACAGTTTTATATCTGAAAAGCAGTGTGACCACAACCCACTCAGTAACCTCTTGCATTTCAAATTGCTCCCTTGTTAAAGGGCATAAATGACCCATTCTACCTCCTTCCTTGAGGTTCTATGAGAAGGATACGGTGGGATGGCAACAGCAATGCTAATGGCTGTCACTGTTGAGACTTCCTATTTATCAGGTACCTTATATCTATCACTTCACTTATCCCCAGGATATTCTATTTGGAGGGTTTGTATTGTTACATTCCACCGTTTTACCCAGGGGGAGGCGGAGACACCCCATGGTCATATGGCTTATCCCAGATTGCAGAACAGAACCTGCAATCAAACCTATGTCTTTGCCATGGTATATGTTAAAATTCTGATAATAATGTGCCTCATAAAAATGATTTGACAATACACAGGGCCATTACAACGACAGTTTTACCTGAACACTGACAGCTAATTGTCGCTTCTCTGTTTTCTTTGTCAAATGCTCGGTAAAGAATACCTCTAATGAGAGTGAAGATGATGAGAAAAACCCACAGTGAAAAAACTATGCTGAACAATTTCCTGAAGGAACATGCTTACAGACTGTACCTGACTTCTTCTCCTGGCTCAAATATAACTACTCACCCCCTGAGAAACATCGAGGATGTGAGTATTTTTGGAAGGATGGTGCTCCACAGCGCCACCTAGTGATCTAGCCCAGCACCGGGGCTCATCTGGAGGAGCCAGGTGGGATGGTGGAGCTGGGGTTCCTGCAGGAGGCAGAAACACTGGAAAACAGGGACCCCAACCAGAAGAGAACACACTATCATCCTCAACTGTTGGTCTTTGTGACTTGGCCTGGCAATTACCAGGTGGCAGTTAAATATCCATTTCTGTGTCAAAGATGTGTCATTAGTTTGAGGGAGATTGTTCCTTCTGAAATAAGTGAGTCAGTCAGTTACAGATGAAGAGTGAACAGTCACTGATCAAATGGTAGAACCAACGGCAAAGCAATTGTGAATACCCAGGCAGAGGGTTTCAGTTTCCATAGAAGCAAGAACCATACCCATAAAATGTTACTGAACCTGTATTCCGTGTAACGCCATAAGTATCTAACACTGTGGTTACTGTTTTTAGATTAAAAAAAGGGCTTATTTTGTCTTCAAGAATGCTCATGCCAGCCTGAGAGATAGGCATATTAGTAAATACATGTCAAATGAAAGGGTCGCCTGTGTGGTGTTGATTGGATGTGGTCTGAGTTTAGAGGGAGTGGCTGAGATTGATCAAGAAGGGCCTCCTGGAGAAGGGGTTGCTAAGGCTGAGTTTGAAGAGACTACAGAGTTTCTCAAATGAAGGCACCAGGACTTCCCTGGGTGTCCAGTGATCCTAGAGGTCCAGTGGTTATGCCTCTGTGCTTTCAATGCAGGAGGTACCACTTCAACGTCTGGTCATAGAGTCAATATCCTGCATACCATGTAGGACAGGAAAAATATATCAAATACAGGCACCTCTGTGACCAAAGTCAGTGGGCTGCACAATGGTTAGAAAGTGATCTCAAGGTATATGTGACATCCAGAGGGAGACATGAGTGTGGGAATAGAGGATAGCTATTTCTGCACTAACCTACTCCCTCCTTTCCCTGTAGATGGTCTATGTGGGTAACATCACCATTGGAACACCCCCTCAGAAATTCCAGGTTCTCTTTGACACCGGCTCATCTGACTTGTGGGTGCACTCTGTCTTTTGCACCAGCCGACTTTGTTGTGAGTACAGACAACCTGTACCCGGACTATCTTTCCCTTGCCCTGCCACCCTGTTTTGCACCCTTGGCACCTGATGACACTTACCTCTTGTGTCTGCAGCTTCTCACATTTTGTTCAGACATCTTGAGTCTTCCACCTACCGGCCTACCAATAAGACCTTCAGCATCGAATACAATTCTGGGAGGACGAAGGGAGTTGTTGCTCGTGACACCGTTCGGGTAACAGTGTAACAAATGCTGAGTCAGGACTGGCAATGGAGTGACCACTGCTTGCAAACCAGATGCAGGACTTTCTGCAATGACCCTTCCTAGCCTAACTCCCATAGATGTTGGCCATCTTACCCACAGGATCCTGTCCCTGGGCAGGCAGTGCCTGTGGTGACACATGAGCACACAGGGTAGCTAACCCAGAGAGTGGCTTGAGATGGGGACTTGCAGCTTCTCTGCCCATGAGCAATTCAAGGTTCATTTTGCTGGGAGCAAGAAGAGGGGAAAAAGGACCCACTTTTATATTCTCAGGCTGTTCCAGGAACTTTCAGGTGTTAACTGTTTTAGTCCTGCAACAACCCCACACAGCAGTTACTCTGATTAGCTTATGTGATATATGAAGAAACTGAGTTGCAGACATTAAGGGCCTTGCTGAGGACACATATGTGGTAAACAGTGAAGCTCGACTGGCTTTTCAGGACTGAAGTTGCTGTGGGGTGTTTGGGGACAGGATAAAACTGATCTGGGGACCCTTGAGGCATTCAAGGGCTTCAGGTATCCAGACTGGGAAACTGGAGGCCTGAGAAGTTAGGGGACATGATAAATGAGTTCTCACTCTAGGTGGCCTTTGAGAGTCCAACAAAATTTATGGCCTGCCTCCCCCAAAGTACTTGAGTAGTTCCCCTCTCTCTCTTTCTCTCTCATACACACTTACACAAAGACACATATATGCCTGAAAGTGAATTCCCCAGGCAGTAATTTCATAGGTCTCTGAAGCAAGAATGTGTTTTCAGCTTCTGTCTTCCTGGACAGATGCAGAATCCACAGAACCTTTCAGAGAATTCAGTCCATTCCTATCATTAGGTCAGTGATGCAAGAGAAGGTTACATTGCTCTTGGCTCCTTTTGTACACAAGGGGCCACCAATGGTACCTGACTTGACTCTTGGTAGCCCCAACTGTACAGAAGTCACAAGGACAATTTGACTCACCCAAGTGGTGTTTTTCAGAGGGGCACATGTTTTAAAATTCACAGCCTCTCTCAAATGGAACCCAAATCCCCCTCCCAGCTTGATCTAACTGTCTGAGGTCCACCAAAGACACAGCCCAGCCTCAATTCTTCTCTGAGGATCTAATGGCAATGCATCCCAGCCCAGTCCTAGCCCCACTTCACATACCTGTAAGTGGGATCACTCTTCTCTCCCACAGATTGGGGACCTTGTAAGTACTGACCAGCAATTCGGTCTAAGCATGGAGCAATCCGGGTTTGAGGAAATACCTTTTGATGGCATCTTGGGCTTGAGCTACCCCAACATGTCTTTCATGGGAGGCATCCCCATCTTTGACAACCTGAAGAATCGAGGTGCCATTTCTGAGCCTGTTTTTGCCTTCTACCTGAGCAAGTAAGTCTGAGATGGACAATCCGTTTCTCCAAATGAGGTGTAATTTGCTTTCAGTTGTAGGAAATTTATAGAACACTTGATAAAGAAGTATCCTGAGAGATAACCTAATCCAAGATAACTATGGCCCCAGGGCCCTTCCTGGCTTCACCACTGGCTTTTATAAATAATGTTTTATTGGAACACAACTCTACTCCTGGGCTCAAGATCAGTAACTTGGTCTAGGGGGATGAGTGAGGAGGAAGACTAATGGAAGGCAACAGGAAACAAGTTGAAGGAAACAAGTTGAAGACATTAGGATTTGCTTATTAATTTGATAAGGAAGGAGAAGGATGGTGGATAGCTTTCCTTCCTCATTAGCATTTCACTGCGAGCCCAGGACCAGCTACCCAGTTTGCAAGAGTCAGTGAAAAATGAAAGTGTGGGACACAAAACAAAATTGTGGGACCCCTTGTTCATGAAATATTAGGCATTTCAAGACAGGGAGAGTAGATGTGAATCCCTTCTGAGTGTGGGGCACTTTGGACAGTAGAGGTCACAGGCCAGTGGAGTCAACTCTGGGTGACCTGACCCTTAGCACTCCCAGGCCTTGATTTTCTTGAAAAATGACAAAGTGGACAAGGGGAAGGCCAAAATGCTTCAGCATCCTGTCCTCTGAAGGTGTTTGAGCACTTAGGTCACTGGAGGTCCAAGGCATCTTGAGAAGATACAGTGAGTGGAGCCCAGCCAGGTGACTCAGTTTCTAACCTCCTCTGTGCCACTCATTAGCCAGTTACCGACCTCAGTCTGGTTCTCAATCGCTCCTAGACTCGATTTCTGTTTCTGTAGATGGGGACATTATTAGTGCCTTAATGCGTAGACAAGCACAGCTCTGAGACAATGCTGTTGTTACCATCCTCCAAGGATACCTCCTCTGTCTTCTCTCTATAGGAGCAAGCCGGAGGGCAGTGTGGTGATGTTTGGTGGGGTGGATAAATCCTACTACCAGGGAACACTCAACTGGGTACCATTGATCGAAAAAGGCAAATGGTGTATCCACATGGACCGGTAAGCCTCTCCCTCTGAGGGTCAGCCCAAAAAAATGCTCCCACTACTGTACATGGACACAGGCATACATACACAAATGGATTCTCAGACAAATAGCCACAGAGACATATATACCATCCACAACAACACAGACAGAATCACAGACACATGGAAACACACAAGCAGACACATATAAACATACAGAGAGACACATAAAAACATGAAAAACTTGCATAGCTACTCAGAGACACAGAAGCACACACAGAAACATACAAACCATATACAAACAAACACACAGGCACATAGATACACAAACAGCCCATGGGTTCATAATCCCTAGGCCTCCTGACCAGGGCTCTGACCATGGTCCTCACAGGGTCTAGAGGGGTCTCTGCAGCTGGGAGAGGGCTGCACCCACTGCCCTGTGAGGTGGCGAGAACGGTCAGAGGACTCTACAGTGTGGTGAACAGGATCAGGGAGGATCTCACCAGCCTGGACAGCATTATAAGATGACCAACTGTCCAGGGCTACCTGGGACCAAGGAAGTTCTCAGTACAGATAAATGTCAGTTAAGGCGAGGGTGGGATGTTTCAAGAGAACAGCATCGAAACATGTATATTATCTAGGATGAAACAGATCACCAGCCCAGGTTGGATGCATGAGACAAGTGCTCGGGCCTGGTGCACTGAGAAGACCCAGAGGGATCGGGTGGAGAGGGAGGTGGGAGGGGGGACCGGGATGGGGAATACATGTAAATCCATGGCTAATTCATTTCAATATATGACAAAAACCACTGCAATGTTGTAAAGTAATTAGCCTTCAACTAATAAAAATAAATGGAAAAAAAATAAAAATAAATAATATTAGAGGTTAAACCATAAAAAAAAAAAACACAAAAAACCAGGGACAGTCCTGAGCAAATGGGGAAAACTGGTCTCCTTATGGAGAAGCTACCCAGCAGTGGAGAGAGGTTGATTGCAGTCTTTAAGATGTGAAAGCAACTAATAAAAAAGACACCCCAAGTCCCTGGGCATACAGTAGGGCAGGGGCTATAACAGAAAATCATGAAGGTGGGATCCAGGGGTGACCTGAGGACAAGAGGTAATAACTGATAGAATTCTGTGTGATACCATCAGACAAAAGCTGACCTGTCCCTTGGAGTTTCCGTAGGCTAGTCATGTATTTCCTGGCCAGTGTCTCAAGGTCTGAGCTGGCTGTAGGAGCAGTGCTGGGAGAAACCCTCTCCCAGAGGATCCCCTCTCTCCCACCACTATGAGAATCTGCTGCCCCTGTGAATCTCCATCTTCACTCTGTGTTCAACCCATTATTTGTTCCCCACCAGATACAGCTCTCTGGATGTTTATCATTATTTTCAGTCTTCATTCACTCATTGAACAGACAAACTTTGGGCATCCACTGTGTGCCAGGCACTTTAGGGAGGCAATGAGAATAAATCTCGCGCTCACATCTAAGAAGGCAGATGCACAGAAATGACACACACACTTAGTGAATTGTGACTTTGGTACATGCTAGACCTGAGGAAGGGTCTATAGAGAGTGACCAAGACAGGAGACTGATAAACACTGGGGTAAAGTCTTCCTTGTAAACGATACAATTAAGCTGGAATCTGGAATATGAGAAGAAATTTGCTAGTCAAAGGGGAGGGGAGTCTTCTAGGAAGGAAAAACAGCTTGTGTCAAGGTACAAAAGATCCTGGTGTATTCAAGTACTGCATTCAAAGATGTCAAGAGAGGTGCCGTGTCGAGAGCAGATGCAGAGAGTTTGGGAAAGAGGAAAAGGTCTGTTGAGGAGATAGTCAGGAACGGGGCAGTTCTGGGGAGATCAGAGTGACCTCTATGCCCGCCCTGTTCCACTGTCTCTCAGCATCTCCATGAACAGACGCGTTATTGCTTGTAATGGCGGCTGTGAGGCCATTGTGGACACCGGATCGTCACTAATGCTTGGCCCAAGAAGACTGATCAGTAACATCCTGAGGCTCATCGGCGCCATGCCACGGGGTTCGGAGGTGAAGGGTCATGCCCCAGGGTCACTCCCAGTTCCACATATAACAAAGATCTCTATGGCCAACCTCTCTCTCTCTCTCTCTAACAGCACTATGTTCCATGTTCTGTGGTCAATACCTTGCCCTCTATTGACTTCACCATCAATGGCATCAACTACCCACTGCCAGCTCAAGCCTATGCCATGGAGGTGAGGGGACAATACTGAGGGTTGGTTCTCATACTGGAGCTTGCAGGAACCCTTGGGCTTCTGCTGGGAGGAGGCCGCCATCAGCAGGCCATGTCACATATTGCAGATGCTGGTGAGCCTTGTGCCTGGGCCAGTGCCTCCCACAGAACCAATCACTTGAGAGTAAAGGGCCGTCTGGGACACTGATCATCCTGAAATAAATGTGGAGATGCCACACCATGCTGGCATGGTGGGAGTCACAAGGTGAGGGGAACATTGAGGTCCTCAGTCCTCAAAAAGCTTCAGTTCAATCTGAAGCCTTAGGTGCATGAACATGAAAGTCAGTGCTAACAGTCCCTGAAATAGGCCATGTTACAAGGAGAATGGCTGGGAACAATCCCAGTGTGATGTTCAATCATAAATGAACAGTCTCCCTTCCTTCTCAAAGTTTTCTTGCTTTGGATGATAAATTACATGGTCAGCCTAGATCTTGGCTGCTTCTTCCCCTGCTCTGGCCATGTGCCCACTTTGTGAATTGTGGTACCCGACCCCTCTGTGGGGCTGTTGGATACTAAGGTGAATAAAGGGTGCATGGTGACTGCTCAGCCCTGGCACGGGGTGGAGACTTCATGTTAGCTCCCTGTGTGGGTACATAGCAGGTTGATGGGCTCAAAGAAGGCTTTGAGGAAGAGAGGGAATTTTAGGAATTCTAAAACCACAAACTCATGGAGCCATATGGAGGGTTGCCTGGTTCTAGGCAACACTGCACTGGATTCCATGCAAATGGCATCCCAAGGTGCTCTGCACTATGGCACTGGGGACTTACTAGGGGTGATGAGGGCTACTGACTGACTGGTGGGAATGGGGAACCAGAGTACGTTATTAAATCAAGCCTGGAGTCACCAAAGAGGGTGAGTGTGGGCCGAAGGAGGCTTCCCAGAGTTCTTGAGTGAAGTCTTCAAGAATGTGTTGTGGGCACTGCTATATTTAAGATGGATAAGCAATAATGAGTTACTGTGTAGCACAGGGAACTCTGCTCAGTTATATGACAGCCTGGATGGGAGGGGTATCTTTGGGATGAGGATACATAGATAAATACAATTGAGTCTGTTTACTGTCCACCTGAAACTCAGAATATTGTTAATCAGCTATACTCCAATACAAAATAAAATTTCTTTTAATAAAGTTTGGATTATGGGGATGCTGGAGGAGAAACTGCATTCTCTGTAGAGAAAACAAGGAGCAGGAGTCAGGAGGAAAGAAACAGGGAGTGAGGAGAACCAGGGAATAGCTTTGTTCTTTTCTAAAAATTGTATTGAAGTGTGGCTGATCTTCAGTGTTGCCTAAAGTTCTGCTGCACAGCAATGTGACTCAGTTATACACATAAAAATATATGTATTCTTTTTCTTATTCTTTTTCATGCGGTTTATCACTGGATATTGAATAGAGTTCCTTACTCTCGACAGTAGGACTTTGTTGTTTATCATTCCACTGTTTCCCCAACTCCCAGTCCTTCACGCACCACACCCTTCCTCATGACAGCCATATGTTCAGGCCCTTTTTTATTTTGGATGAACTCTCACATCCCCTGCTGCTCATAAAACCATTTGATACGTACCAAAAGAGGGACATAAAACTAAGAACGGTGCTCAGTCTGGATATTGGGGGGAGTTGCCGATAAGGGCTCAAGCTGACTGGTGTGTCTCTGACTCCCCCAGGATTCTGACGGTGAGTGCTATATCACCTTTGAAGAGAACCCATTGAGTACATCTACAGAGACCTGGATCCTGGGTGATGTCTTCCTGAGGCTGTATTTCTCTGTCTTTGATCGAGGAAATGACAGGATTGGCCTGGCACAGGCAGTGTAACCTCTTGGAGTGATTCAGGAATCAGTAAGGCCACTCCTAACACACACTTACTCACACTTAGGGCACTCCTGCCCAGGATGCTGATGAACAGTATTTGGTGGCCTGCACACCCTGTTCTCAGTAAAGAATAAAAGGTTTCACTCATAATGGTGTTGAAACAAATGGGTGCCTCTGTTTGTGTCTGTAAGTGAAGGATCTAGAACCAAGCCTGATCCAAAATTGAGAGGAGCCCAACTCTAACTGGCTTCAAGGCAAAGGGAGACTCATTGAAATGATTCTGGGAATCCAGGACACAAGAATCAGAGCAAATACAAAGATCTCAGTGACTGGACCCACGAAATCAGAAGTCTTCAGTTCTCTCTTTCTCACCCTCCCTCTTTCCCTTCCCTCTTCTTTGGGGGTCTTAGCCTGACAACTTTCTTCCTTAAGGCTTCTACACCTAGTGTAGGAGTCCAAGCTACCTGCCCTAGGGTTTTATATCCCCGAGGCATCACCTAGTGAGGAAAGAAGCTCAGAGCCATCAGAGATTAAGGGTGTTCTCTGAATGGCCCACCTCAGATCACCTGTATAGCCCCAGATGAACCATCCTGGCAGGGCCATGGGGTCATATGTTTGGCTTTGCATGGTCACTGGCCCAGACCCAGCAGCACAAATGATTCTCAGTTTCCTCCAGAACTACATGACTGAAGCTGGGGAGAGGCAGCCCCAAGTAGAGTGACTGGGGGATGGTCTAGGCCATGGAAGAGTTCGTGTTGACCCACCAACTCCACCACCTCCTCATTCAGAAGAATTATAAGGGGTAAAGAAATAGACTCTCTTCATCACATCTCAGATGATCTTATCACTGGGCTTCTCCTCCAGGGTAGTTTGGGTGAGATAGGTCATGCAGAGCTGGTTCCCTCTTGTTCCCACACCCCAGTCTCTGGCTCTCTGCCATATATGCATGCTCTGTCCTTTCCAGTCCTACTTGGTAAGTGGTGGCCCCAGTGGATCTCTGAGCCATCCCCCTCCTCCAGGGCCCAGAATGCCCCTTTCTTGGCCTCCAATGCTGCTGGGGACAATGCAACACATGTATCGGGGGACCCAGGGTACACAGAGCCTTCAGCCTTTCTGAGCTCCTCCAGGGGTGGAGCTAAAAACTCTTTCCTTGGAGATGCATGGTTAGGCACTTTTGCAGTGGAAGCATCCGTTCTTTCCACCTGGAGGCCCTCAGTGGATGCCTCAGCTGAGACAGCAGGGGTCAGAGGTTGATTTCCTTTCAGATTGACTGGTTTTATCTCCTTGTTGTTTAAGGGACTCTCAAGAATCTTCTCAAGCATCAGAGTTCAGAAGCTCAGTTTTTTGCCATTCACCCTTTCTTACGATCCAGATGGCACATCTATATATGATTACTGGGAAAACCATAGTTTTGACACTACAGACTTCTGTAGCAAAGTGAATCTGTGCTTTTTAATACACCATCCCAGTTTTTCATAGTCTTTCTTCCTTGTAAGGAGCAAGTGTGTTTAAAGCTCATAGCTGCCATCCCCAAGGCTAAATAATGATTGAAGCCAAATGACCTCTATTTCTGAACCATGACACAGAACTCTGACTGAAGCAATGCTTCTGTTTTCTTGGTTCCAACAAGAGCTGATTACTAGCTCAGATTACTCCCTTCCCAGCCTTACCTGTCAGCCTTTCCTTGTCAACTACTTCTAGCCTGAAATTACACTGCGAGGAGAGTTGTTAGGCTTTTGGTCTCTTGTCAGTTTCACACATCTGCAGCATAGCAACAAGTAGCTATTATGGCTACTTGTCAAAGCAGCAACTATGGCAACCTGTACAGTCCAATTTCAGGCTGTTAAATGAAACTGTCCCTATTTGTCCCTTCATGTTTAAATTACCTACAGTTGCCTTAGATACCTTCCTATGCTTGGTGTTTAACGACGAAATATGTGTGGACCTCATCGAATTTTCTTTCCCAAGCATGATTCAACCATGCAGTGAAGTAACCAGACATTGAATCATCTAACTATCCACAGGAATTGACAAAAGCAAGCCACTGATGGTGCATTTTTTGCTTGCCCCAAAACACCACCGAAGTGATCTGCTCCAACAAAGTGATACATTGGCATGTACACTCCAGAAGGGAGACTTTTTCTAGATTCGTTTTCCACCTAGTACAGAATGTTTACCACATGCCTCACCCTCCAGCAGCTGGTCACCTGGTTTTTGCAGACACAGCCCACTCCAGTTTCCTTCCACATCCCTCAGTAAAATCTAGAGCACAAACTCAATCAAATCTCTCACTCCTGCAGAAAACAGGTTTTTGTTTTTTTAGAAAAAAAGTTTCCTAACACATTCAATATTTTGTGCTCCTTGCCTTGGATTCAAGGACATGCACCAGAGAATGGGAAGCCTCCCTTTCCACGTAAATCTTTCTCCACTCCCACCAGGGCCAGAGGCTTCACTGGACCCTCTGTTCTCATTGGTATTATTCAGTTGCTAAGTCATGCCTGACACTTTGTGATTACACGTATGGCAGCAAAACAGCCTTCCCTGTCTTTCACTATTTTGTGTAGTTTCCTCAAACTCATGTCCATTGAGTCGGTGATGCCATCTCACCTTCTCATTCTTTTGGTCCCTATCCTTCTGCCTACAATCTTTCCCAGCATCAGGGTCTCTTCCAATGATCTTCACATCAGATGGTGTAAATGTTGGAGGTTCATCTTCAGCATCAGTGCTTCCACTGAATATTGCTCTGCCACTTTCAAAACAAAACTCATGTTTCCAACCATCTAACAAAATTGAGCATTGATAAAGTTTAATAGAATAGGGATCTTGTCCTCCGGGAAATCCCAGCAATGCTGCCCTGCCTTTCTGTTACCATTCTCTCCACCTGGCATAGAATTGCTTCCATACAGCTTCTCCAGCTTGAAACGGCCTGCTGACCCATCATTGTCAGCTATCCAGGAATTGTTCCTTCTACCTTCCCCAAAGACTTCTGTCTGCTCCCTGATTGCCCTCTGTACATCAGTTCAGTTCAGTCTCTCAGTCATGCCCAACTCTTTTCCATGTCATGGCGGTGCAACACGTCAGAGTTCCCTGTCCATCACCAACTCCCACAGCTTGCTCAAACTCATGTTCATCAAGTTGTTGATGCCACCCAACAATTGTGTTTTCTGTCCTCCCCTTTGTCTCCTTCCTTTAATCTTTCCCAGCATCAGGGTCTTTTCTGAAGAGTCAGTTCTTCCCATTAGGTGGCCAAACTATTTATTGGAGGTTCAGCTTCAGCATTGGTCCTTCCAAAGAATATTCAGGAATGACTTCCTTTAGGATGGAATGGTTGGATCTCCTTGCAGATCAAGGGACTTTCAGGAGTCTTGTCCAAAACCACAGTTCAAAAGCATCAGTTCTTTGGTTCTCAGCTTTCTTTATGGTCCAACTCCCTCCCCCACCCACGACTTCTGGAAAAAGCCATAGCTTTGACTATATAGAGGTTTACTGGTAAAAGAAGGTCTCTGTTTTTGGTATGCTGTCGAGGTTTTTCATAGTTTTTTCCAAGGAGCAACTGTCTCTTTTTTCACAGCTGCAGTCAATATCTGCAGTGATTTTGGATCCCAGGAAAATAAAGTCTGTCACTGCTTTCATTGTTTCTCTGTGTATTTGCCAGGAAGTAATGGAACTACGCAATTATCCTTGTTTTTTGATCTCTACATAACACATCAAAGCCTTCCTCAAGAAAATCAAATGCAAAAAGGTAAAATGGTTGTCTGATGAGACCTTACAAATAACTTAAGAAAGAAGAGAAGCAAAAGTGAAAGGAGAAAAGAAAGACATACCCATGTGAATGTAGAGTTCCAAAGAATAGCAAGAAGAGATTTTTAAAAAGCCTTCCTAAGTGATCAGTGCAAATAAATAGTGGAAAACAATAGAATGGGAAAGATCAGAGATCTGCTCAAGAAAATTAGAGGTAGGGAAGGAGTATTTCATGCAAGATGTGCACAATGAAAGCCAGAAATTGCATGGGTCTAGCAAAAGCAGTATATATTAAGAAGAGGTTGAAAGACTATTTAGAAAAGACTATACTTTCAGGGATCATTTCTATAGTTCGTTACTAGAGAAGTTTCTCTGATCGTGTAGAGCACCCGAAACCACGAGGAAGAGAGGTAGCGTTTTCTCCTGAGCGTGAAGTTGGCTTTTGGTGCTGCTTGTGCAGCTGCCACGGGTCGTTGGTGATCGTTCTTCTCTCCTTTTTGGGAGAGTAAGAGGGAGAAAACGCCGTCTGAGTGGTTTTGAAAAAAAAAGAAAAAAATTAAAAAAAAAAAAGAAAGACTATATAGAAAAACTAGGCAAAAAAGGTATTAATGAACCAGATAACCACGATGGTGTGATCATCCACCTAGAGCTAGACATTCTGAAATGTGAAGTCAAGGGGGACTTCAGAAGCATAACTACGAGCAAAGCTAGTGGAGGTGATGGAATTGCAGTTGTGCTATTTGAAATGCTAAGAGATGATGCTGTTAAACTGCAGCCCTCACTATGCCAGCAAATTTGGAAAACTCAGCAGTGACCACAGGACTGGAAAGGTCCTTTTGAATGTAATCCCAAAGAAAGGTGATTTCAAAGAATGTTCAACTACCACACAGTTGCACTCATGTCACATGCTACCAAAGTAATTTCTCCAAGCAAGTCTTCAACAGTATATGAACTGTGAAATTCTATATGTTCAAGCTGGATTTGGAAATGGCAGAGGAACCAGCGATCAAATTGCCAACATCCACTGGATCATAAAAAAGCAAGAGAATTCCAGAAATACACCTACTTCTGCTTTATTGACCATGCAAAGCCTTTGACTGTGGATCACAACAAACTCTGGAAAACTTACAGAGATTGGAATACCAGACCACCTTCCCTGCCTTCTGAGAAATCTGTAACAGGTCAAGAAGCAACCGTTAGAACTGAGCATGGAACATCAGACTGGTTCCAAATAGGGAAAGGAACATGTAAAGGCTGTATAT